CACTGAGTGGCGAATCGTTATATTTTATGCTCTTTTAATACTGCGGGCTACAAACAAAAATTCGAAAAAGGAAAATACGTATTATGGGACTATGCGCCCCACGGACGGAGCTCTCGATTAAAAGTGATCCCACAAATGCGCAGGTGGGTTTTTCCTTTCCTGTTATCCCCTTTTCTTTCATTCACTCCCTACTTCTACTTAGCTTATAAAATGTATTGCAGAGTCGTGAATTCCAAGATGCGGCGACTGTAGCGCTTCAATTACGCGCGAAAGGTTTCGCTGCGTATTCGACCGATAACCGCATTCGCGTTGGCCCTCGTAACGATTCACGATGGTATCATTCACGGACCCCGCTATACATTCAATGCTTAATCCAAGCGGTTGACACACTTTATGAAGAACCAATCGGAACCGTTACTTTTCTGATTTTTTATGTTCGTTTCATTTTTCAAAGATGTTTTGTGGATCTCTCGAATTTTTCTTCCGTACGTTATCCAAAACTATGAGGGGTTGTGATCTGCAATTACACTTCAACACACTCACCGACACTTTTGTGGCCTAGACTTTCAGCGCAATGCTATCCTTCCTGGATCTGCAATTACACTTCAACACACTCACCGACACTTTTGTGGCCTAAACTTTCAGCGCAATTCTATCCTTCCGCAATGCTATCCTTTCCTAAACTTTCAGCGCAATGCTATCCTTCCTGGATAGCATTGCGCTGAAAGTTTAGGCCACAAGTCATTCCTTTGTTGGTTTGGAATATCTGGTCTTTTTTCTTCTTTTGATTAAGGCCTTAGTACAGGAGGAGGATATGGGCTTCAACCTGCCTTTGGCCACGTTGAGTAGTTGGAGGTGAAAATCTTCTGACGTGGCGGAGGTGAGACCCTTGCGAGCCTGCAATAACCCGCAATATCGGATTGTTGGTGTTACAATAGTACAATAAAATTATTATCTATATCCAAGTCTGCAGTCCTTACCGTTTACAGATACGCTGTGTCCAGCAAAATTTACCCATTGGCAAAGTGCACCTTGATAATCCGCGATGTCCCGATTGCCGCGGACCCTGACAATCGCTCCAGGATCAGATCTGATCCGCATTGCTGCGCAAAGATCTCTTTGGTAACCGCCAAATGTTCGGGGCATGTGCCGAATACTACCGGCAAGAAGGTCCCCATTGGCTTTGTAAGTCCGACACAAAGTTAAATCTGGCCGGATATTTTGGGCGTAATTCGTCCTCCGTAAGCGTGGAGTTAACGGTGTGTCGGTTCATTTTGAGCTTCGTTGACCCCCGAAACCGGCAACGTGTGTGGTAAAATTTTTTTGGAAACTTATCTTTCCTATGTTATAATAGGAAAAGGGAAAAATCAATGACTTCTCACCACAAAATACAAGAGGGTCAAACCTCTCAACCTCGCCGATTTTCTTTTTTATAATCTTCATCGAAGCAACTGAAATACAATAAAATTTCACCTCCCTTTATTCGGCTCCCAACAAAAAGCTCGATACGAGGCTTTGGTGCAAGCCCAACAAATTTCTGAATCGACGACGATAGAATATACACGCAAGACGAAGCGTTCTCCAGCCACAAATTTCTCCACACAAATTCCTATCAAACAGCTCGAAACTCCACAGCAATAAACTCCCCGGGAACTCCACAGCTCGAAACTCCACAACTGACTGACCACGAACTCCACAGCTGACTCGACTCCAACATTTACCCATCACTACGCTCGATGGCATTACTAAGCGACTTCAGATATCTGTACACAGCGTCGTCGGGATCTCCACTGTGTGGGTCTTGTTTACAAAATGTTCAAAATCCAATGGGCTGAACCTACTTCTTCATGCCGAGCAAACTGATGTGTCATATACATATACATTTGCAACACCCGTCCATATACCTTATACTTCTGCAACACTCCAAAAATGGTGTATCGACATCGAACTAATTCATCCTTCCATTGCCAGGGGTTGCCCTCTTCTACTGGGGTCAGCCCGCGCACCAGTTCCAGCCACGCGTTGTTGTCCCACTGCACACCAGTGCTGGCATCCAGTGGAGTTACATACTCTGTTCTTGTTCGGCCAGCTGCTGCGTTTCTGACCGAATAATCTTCTTTTGCTTTTTTCAAGGTTTCCACTATTTCCTTGCCTGTCGCTAATGCAGTACCGGCAACATTGATGCCGTAATTCATCGCTGCCTCACTTCTGCGAGTTCTGGCTTCCTCCGAAACCTGCCCCGCCTTCTCCCATAAGAAAGATCCAAAAGCGGAAGATATACCGATGAGCGCCCCACTACTCAGGTTGCCAACCATTATGTGGGGAACCGCAGCCATTACCCCTTCCAATAACCAATCAAATCACGGTGGAGTGGACTGAAGCGGAGTGGGGATGGCGAGTGGAGTGGAGTGAGGATGGGGAGTGGAGTGAAGTGAAGTGGAGTAGCTGCATCATCCACCCCGCCATCCCCACTACCAGGTTTGCATCTGGCTGTCAGTACTGATACCTCTGCAGCATGGTGACGTACCGAACTATTCAACAAAAGTGTAATACAGCCTCCTTGATCCCATAAACCATGAATGTCTATTTCGCATGAGCCATACAAGGCTTGCTCTTTTGCAGCGGTAGTAATAAATCTGGTGATTGACAGGTGGGAATATGCCTCCTTTAACAACAGATTCCTATCCAAATTCACTGCGTATGTTGCCATATCTGAAGTGCGACACAAGCGAATCATACTTGTTCTCATCAGTGCCTGCCACTCAGTGTTCTTGGTGGCCAGCATCTTCGTCATTTCGTCATCGTTGCCTCAACGTTGCGCACGTCAGCGTGGGCGACACTTTCCTCAAACGCAAGTATTTCCGAGGTTCCGCTGTTAAAGACAACAATGTCTGGACGCTGGTGAGCCAACAGGGCTTGTTGGGTATAGTGGTATCCAAATGAGTTTGGCCTTAGTGTTCTCTCACACTGCGGGGATCTAATTATTGTATACTGGGAAGTCATAGTGCAGGCAGAGTTAGAAATAGAGGTTTCTGGCAACACCGTTATGCCTTTCGACATAAAGGTTGCTCAGTTAGCGCGAACATCTGCTAACAATGTGAGCGGCTGTTTCCTCTTCGCGCCCGCACATACTGCATTGGGTGAAGGCATTGGTCCGATTCCTTGTGGTAAAGGCCCATCCCTGTACCCCGAGGATGTTTCTGAAGTTTAGGCCGCTTACCATTGCCTTCTGTATCCACAGACTACTGAGCTTAACATCACTGTTGCCTGCTCCTCGGACAAAGACCATCGTACCTCCTGCAACCGCCTTTCGCTCTGGGCCTCTGCAAGAAGCTAGGCGGCAGTTCTAGCTGCTACGTAAACGCAAGCATTTAACTTCCCCATGCATGACACTAACCGGTCATATACGAACCTGCCGCACTTCTCTTCGATGCACTGACTTGCAAGCTCAAGGAAAGCCTTCCGTATGGTCCCGCACGGACGCTTAATCGGCACCCTGCTGTAGTTGGGTTGGGTCCACTGGCAGACGGTCTTAAACCGCTGCCAGAATGTGGCTACCAACTCGTCGTCATAAAGCCTAGAGGAGGGGCTATCTGCCGGAGCAGCCGAGCCGAATCTTGATCCCCCGCAACCGTGGAGGCTGCTAGCTGACGCCCCGGGACTAACGTCTGTTTCCAGACTTGTCACCGAAATATTTGCCGCCGCCCCATTTTCCGGTCCAGAAGTTCGATTGCGACTGAATCAGCCGTAGCGACTCTTCTTTGCTCGAAGCTGCCTGGGCCGCTGGCGGTGGTTTCTTCCATGAAACAAGTAAAAAATCAGGACATATCATGCATCAGCCTGTAATGTATTTCTTCCAGTATTTTAGATCTCCCACAAAGATATTTTAGATACTCTGCATTGACGGAAGGTATCAGTGATCTTCACGTTTTTTTTTTGCCCGTTGTGGTATGTCGCGTTCAGTTATGTTGTATGGTTAGGGGAAGGCCAGTGTGCCTCCCCAAATGCACAGTGTGTGCATAGCGCCTGCACTACTCTCTCGCCCCATCGTTTGCTCTTGCGCCGCACTCGAATTGCTCCTGTTCTTTTCTTTGATTGTTTGTTATATCTTATTGTTGATGTAATTAAATCCTTGCCCACAAGCTGCACCGCAACAAACACAACATCTCTGTGCTGCTTCTGATAGTTCATTTGCAAGCACTGCAGCTTTGTACGTCAACCCAAAACATGTAATGTAACGCACTTGGCAAGACATTGGGATCTGAGACGAAATAAGCATAACTATCATTTACTGTTAA